CCCCCCCCGCGGCAGCCCGATTCCCTCTCTGCCCCCACCACTCCATCCCTCGCCCGCCGGTCCCTTCTTCCTACCTGGTTGCGGGTCTTGTGTGTCTTCTGCATCCAGGCTCGCCACTGGTCGTAGAGGCGGAAGCTCAGGTTCGAGCAGTACGCGTGCTTCTTGAGCCAGCCCAGGAACTGCTTGAGCTCGCGCCGCACCGGCCCCGAGCTCGGCTCGCCGCCCCGCGGCTCGCACGCCCCGCCGCCCGGGCCCGGGCGCTCTGATGGGGGAAGCGGCAGCGTCACGGCGCGCCCGGCAGAGGGCGCGCGAGGGCAGGAGAGGGAGGTTCCGCGGCTAGGCGGGACCCTGTTCCCCTTGGGCACCTCCCTCCCGGTGTCTCCGGATCGGGTCCTCTCCACCGCCCAGCACAGCGGCCCAACTGAGCCCGGGAGGAGGTGGAAGGCATGGGAAGGAGGGGGCTCCTCCCCCACGTCTCCTGCAGGAACCTGATTCCCGTGGCCTGAGCCAGGTGTGAGTGAAAGGAAGGGGAAGGAGAGGAGCCAGGGCCAGAGGGATGAGACCCAGACCCAGAGCAAGGGACGGAGAAAGGGCAAGAGAGACACTAGTGAGGCAGAGCTGGAGAGAGAGAGAGAGAGGCAGAGATGGAAAGATGGAGACAAGGCGAGACAGGGAGATGTGGGGAGGGCCAAAGCAATGGGGGACAGCCAAGGAGATGCAGAGGGATAGAAAAGGGCGAGATCAAGAGAGGGCTGCAGCAGGCAGAGACAGAGACCATGGGCGTGTAGGGACACAGAAACCAAAAAAGGCAAAAATGCAGAGAGGTACAGGGGAAGAGAATGACAGAGGGATGAAGGGAGACAGAGGAGACCCGGAGGGGGGGCGGCGGGGAGGCAGTCCCCAGGACAGGCCTGAGAGCGGGAGCCAGTGGGATGGGGCGTGGGCTGGAAGGGCCAGGTGGGAGGCCAGCCTGTCGGTCCAGCTGCCGGCCGCAGCCAGCCCCTAGCAGGCCGGCAGATAAGGACATCGGCCTCACGTCATAAATAACGCCGGGAACCCGCTGACAGGCCCTGGCACGGCCACGGCCCCCACCGCCCCTGCTGGCCTCCCCCGGCCTCCCCAGCTTCTCCAGCGGACGCAGCCGCCTGCTGGCTCCCGTGCAAGAATCGCAGGTGCTGGGCACGAGCAGGGGCCAAGGCGCAGGCCCCTCCCGGCCGTCGTAGATCCCGCCCACCCCCAGAACCTGGAGGGGCCCAGGATGGGGGCTGGGGAACTGGCTGGAGCCTGGCTCTGTCCCTCCCTAGGTTTGGGACCCCCCCCTGGGCCTCAGTTTCCCCATCATCCCAGGAGCATGGGCCTGGACTTTCCAGGAAACTGAGTTCAGATCCCTGTGTGACCTTGGGGGCTGGCTGAACATCCTAGGGCCTGTGTCCTCACCTGAGAAAAGGGATTTCCTTGCGGGGGTGGGGGGGGGATCATGGGGGAGCAAGAGATGGGGGCGTTAGTCACTACTACCTGCAAACACTTAGACGGTGCCCACTATAAGGGCACTTTCTTTTTTGGGTTATCTCATCTAACCCTAACAATAGCCTGAGATGGGTATGATTATTGTGCCCACTTTCCAGATGGAAAAGCTGAGGTCAGACATTTCAATTTACATATTTTGTAACATTTCACAAAGGAGCAAATGGAGGATCATGGGCTTAGAGAAACCCCAGCGGGCAAGGGAAGTCAGATCCAGGCTCCTGATTGTCCCCACCCCCACCTTGATCAGAAAGGGAACCCAAGGCCCATCAGAGGGAGAGTTGGCAGCCGATCAGCCTCAGAAGCAGAGGTCTCAAACTCACTTGTTTTTAGGGGCTCGGGAGGGGGCACAGGTGGGCAAAATGTGCCAGGTGGGGGTGGGGCAACTGGAGAGTGAGGCCTCTGAATGATGGGGCCTGATAGGGGCTGTGGACACACTCTGGCTGTGTCCTGTTACATATTCTTGCTTAAAGATTCTATTTTTAGAGATCCCTGGGTGGCTCAGTCGGTTAAGCGTCTGCCTTCGGCTCAGGTCATGATCCCAGGGCCCTGGGATTGAGCCCTGCATCAGGCTCCTTGCTCATGGGGGAGTCTGCTTCTCCCTTTCCCCCTGCCCCACCCCCACTTGTGCTCTCTCTCTCTCCCTCGCTCTCTCTCAAATAAATAAAATCTTTAAAAAAAAAGATTTCATTTTTAAGTAATCTCTACACACAACGTGGGGCTCGAACTCACAACCCCGAGATCAAGAGTCGCGTGCTCTTCCGACTGAGCCAGCTAGGCGCCCCAACATTTTCTAGACAATCTTTCTAGGAAACCTAGGATATTTGTGTGAAAAACTTTGTTTTTAAATGTCCGCAAGTAGGTCAAACTTTTTTTTTTCAAATGACAGGTCAAAGAAAATAGATCCAAGGACCAGAATTGGCCCCAAAGGGCCACCAATTTGAGACCTCTGCTCTCTTGGAGGAAACAAAGAAACAAAGGCTTTGGCTGCTTTGGGACTGGTCTCCTGACCACCCAGCCCTGCTGGGGTGCTCACCACTGCGAGGGGTGGAGGCGGCCGTGGGGTGGCTCCACTCGCTCCAAATCCCTGCCTTCTTGGAGCCATAGATGCCAAAAGGATTGCAACGCACTTGCACGAAGTAGACTGTGCCTGGCTTCAGGCCGGCCAGGCGGCACGAGGTCTGGTTGCTGACATCGTCCACCACCTGGTGGTAATGGCAGGGTCAGAGACCAGAGGTGGGGGCGGGGAGGCGCAGAGTGGGGTGGGAGCTGAGGGAGAGGGGGATTGTCAGGCACCTTCCAATCCACGCTGTCCTCCACCCGGTAACGGATTTGGTACTTGGCTTGGAAGAGGAAGTCCTTGAGGGCCGGTGGGGAAACCCAGCGCACACTCAGCTGGTCCTCCAGGCCCCCAACTCGGCTCACGTGCACGTCGGGTGGGGGGTCGGTGGTCACTGAGAGACGGGGCAGGGCAGGGCTTAATCACTCAGCCTTCCTTGGACCTGGCCGGCCCCCATCTGGATTCAGATCTCAGAGTACATGGCTTGGGTGGCACCTGCCTCTGTTCTGCCCTCTCACCCCTCCCCCCTTCCAGAAGGGTGGATTACATTATTTGGGAAACGCTCAGCACCTAGAAGCATTCAATTAATGTTAGCTGTTATCACCATTATTATCTGTGACAGGAGAAACATAATCCTACCTTCAGGGACCGATGGAAAAGCAGACACTGCCTGATGACATTGTTATTATTATGCCCAGGAGGCCAGGGGGCCAACAGGCTGCCAGACCCCTGGGAAGCTCCTCCTGACCCCCCACTGCCCACCTGCACCTCCAGATCCTTCCTACTTTGAAGAGGTTTTCAATAGGACAGCCTTGTTGGTGCAGAAGGAAAACTGAGGCTTAGAACCTGCTCACTGCAGCTTTAGGACTTGAGGAAGCAAAGCAGGAAGCAGACTGGGGTCGGGGGCGGCTACCAGCCTTCTGAGGATCCTTCTGGGAGCCCTGTGGGCAGCATGGAGGTCTGACCTCTCCCCCTGAGGCCTCAGTAAGGGTCTGAAAGGGTTAAGGCACAGGCCTGCTTGGGGCTGAGAAACACCCTAATTAGATTAGGCCCAATTCTGCTCGCAGATCATCCGTTTCCTGCCTCCCGCCTGCGCACCCCCCCCAGCTCC